TGATTTTGCTATGAACCTTGCCGGAAAGATCAATTTAAATCTATAAAAATTATATATATTACTCCAAAAAGTTTCTTGTGTCTTCAGAGAATTAGCTGATAGCGAAAGTCAAAAGAAAAATTTAGTAAAATTAATTTTATACAAAATATAAAAGATTGTTTTTTCATTTCTACATATTAAAATGATAAATATTTTATCATTCTTTTTAGGTAATATTTAGGACTATTATTCTACCCCATACTGAGTAAAATGACAAACAAAGTCTAGAAGAAATTTATCTTTCAATCAAGTCACTATTTCCTAAATAGCTGTTTGTGTATTAAGAGCTAAAAGTGATACTTTGTTGCTGGAGACAGAAAGTTGCCCGCCCGTCGTAAGTAGTGTATAATGAAAAAAGCAGTTGACATTCAAAGCCCATGTTAACTTAATGTCAGCTCGCGGAAAACGTCAACTTTGCGGTTGGATTTCGAAGCGCAAAAGCCTACTTTGGATACTGATCATAGAAAAAGTTAATTTACAACAATCTATTATACACCTTGAAAATATATTGACAAATTTAATATTTATTATTAGATATCGTCATCTTTCTAGATCAAAAATATCTGACAAATTTATTGATTTAATAACTGAACAAAACACAGGATCAGAAAATTAAAGTTACTTCATCGACACTGTTCCAGAAACTATTTAATGACACTGTTCCAGAAACTATTCAATTTGTAAAGAAGAAATCTGTAAAGTGGCCAAAGTCAGAGAAAGGTACTTATATCCCCAAATAATGAGTAAATTTAAAAATGTATTTTTATGATTTTTAATAATGATAAGTTTTTAGAAAATATTTTAAGGACACTTAAGATAATTTACATTAAAAGATATACAAAACTCAAAAACTTTAAAAATATGTTGGAAGATTACTATTAAGAGGTTTGCTAATCTAGAACAAGAAGTCAGATTACTTTAACAAAGTAGAAGAAAGTTGCAAACTAGAATATCTGTCACGATTCTCTTCTGAAAAAGTTGGGACAAAAATTATTTAAGTATATCAGAAGCAGTGGATATACCTATGTATCTAGGTATTGAAACAACTGTTTAAATTTGGTGACACAATTAGTAATATAAATATGGTTATCAGCTTGGTAAACAATAAGCTAGATGACAATATTAAACTATATTTGTATATATTTATTGTCTGTATGTACATTACTTCAAGTAGTGGCCTCTCGCTGGGGGTCTGCAATTGGTAAGTCGACTTTATGTCACAACGGGTGGCAGAAGGCCGTCGTCACTTTACTAGCAATAAGTATTGAAAGACCTGCACAGTGCACATGGCAAGCATTTTCCCATAATATTAACGTTAACTATCCTTCAATGCACTTGCATAAGGATCGTAACTTTACCAGACATAAGTACATGGCTAGCAGTTTCCCACATTAACGTTAACTTCCCATCAAAGTGCTTGCAATAGCTATATCTAAAACAAAAGCACTTTACGAAGCAGAAAATCGAAAACGAAAAAGTATTGTGGACAACCAGATTGCTACCGCTACTGTAAGCAGTGTAAGAAACCAGGAAGAAAATACCAACACGGATGATAAATCAAAAAACAATGATTTCAATACATGGAGCTACCATACAAGGCTAGTGACAGAAGCAACTCGGCTTCCCGATCATACATCCTCTGGTAACGAAGAACTACAACATTACCTCAAGCAAAATGTTATTGAAATAAAGGAAGATTCAATTCTCTTTTGGACCAAACATAAAATAACATATCCTGTGCTTTCTTCCATTGCCATACAGTTTTTATCCATCGTCGGTACGTCGGTTCCATCCGTAAGACTATTTTTAAAGGCGGGAAATATTATAGAACCAAATAGAAACCGCCTAACAGGTCAGAGACTATCCAATTTATTATTCTAAACTCTTTATCTGTAGAAGATTGGAATTTATTGCAATTTATTAATAAATTAATTTTTCTGTGTTCTTTATTTCATGTTTATTGTATTATATTTTTTTTTTTTCAGTTTAAAGGTGTATTATATATCTAATATATTAGTCTCAGTTTGTGTTTGATTTTTTTTCATGTGTTATGTGTAGGCTTCGTTACTGTTTCCCAGCGTCACTTTAGAAACAGCACTGTTAATTAGAACCCAACAGTGAATGGTCATAGTGGTGAATCCTACCTAAGCATCGCAATTATTTTTGAACAATACAATTATATAAAAAAATCCCAGCCCACACTGGGATTCGAACCGCGGACCCTTGGATTCGCAAGTTCAAAATGAGTCACCCACCCTCCTTATAAAATGCGATAAATCGAAAAATTGATTGTTATAATACCGATTAATTATCGAATCGAAATTTAGGACTCCGATTTTGAATCGATACAAAAATCGATTTTTTTCAATAAATCGGCATCCCTAGCTTGCATAAAGCTCTTATAATAAAAATGATGCCGAGCTTTTAAAGGAAATATACAACGTGTGTCTTCTACAAAAACAAAATTGATAAAATATTCTAAATCAACAACATGTAAAAGTACAAAATTACAGTGAATAATGAATACCAGCAATGAGAGACTGGCCGCATAGTATATGTTCACTCGTTGAGTATGTAGTAAGGAAAAGTTTCGAACGGGCCATAACGATTTTACAGTTGAATGTGGGAAACAGTTAACAAACCATCAACGGCCCATCGAAAAATTACAGTTAACGGGCAGTTAATTATAAATTTCAAAAAAGTCCATAACGAGTTTACAGTTACAAGTTACTTTGCCATCACATTCGTTAGAAGGCCAATAACATGCTGTAATTTCATTGTTTGGTGGGATATCTAGTAACTTTTTTACTAAATGTACTAACTTTTAAACTTTTTACTATTTACTAACTATTTACTAACTTTTACTAACTTTTTACTAACTTTTTACTAACTTTTTACTAACTTTTTACTAACTTTTTACTAACTTTTTACTAACTTTTTACTAACCTTTTACTAACCTTTTACTAACTTTTTACTAACTTTTTACTAACTTTTTACTAACTTTTTACTAACTTTTTACTAACTTTTTACTAACTTTTTACTAACTTTTTACTAACTTTTTACTAACTTTTTACTAACTTTTTACTAACTTTTTACTAACTTTTTACTAACTTTTTACTAACTTTTTACTAACTTTTTACTAACTTTTTACTAACTTTTTACTAACTTTTTACTAACTTTTTATTAACTTTTTTACTAACTTTTTACTACCTTGTTACTAACTTTTAGTAAATTTTCACTAACTTTTTATCAACTTTTAACTAACTTTTTATTAACTTTTTATTAATTTTTTACTAACGTGTTAGTTACTTTTTACTAACTTTTTCCTATGTAAATGCGATTTTTCATTTCGCTCCTAGTTTTGTACAACCAAAAAATGTAAAACAGGTTCATAATGGCAATAAATGGTATGTTCCTAATTAGAAACAACCGCCGGTTTTACAATTTTGATTTATTCTTGTTCAGAAACATTTGCCAAGTGTAGGAAAGAGGGACGATTTTTTTTAATCCTTGATTTTAGATTTTTTGGTTATGTTAAAGGTGCATTCCAAACAGTTCAGAGATAGTGATGAGGACCCATATTTTATAATAGAAAGGGGTAGCCAGTAGCGAACGATCTGAAGAATCATCACAAAATGATGTTCTTCCAAGCAAAGAAAATACAAACAAAATAAAAACAAAACAAAAAAAGAAAACAAGTGAAATAAAGTCGATGATACAACTGACTCTTGTTAAACCTAACTTCAATGAAGAAAGAAGAAGAATAAAATGAGATAGGTAGAGCAAACTTACCATTATTTTTATTGTACCTTATTAAAAAAAAAATATGATCTCTTTCAGTTTTGGGACAACTTTGTTATTCCATATGGCCTGTACATTTTTAGTTGTTTAAATAGTTTAATCTTCCTCCTTTCTGAAAAGGTAGCATTTGCAAGTTTTTGATTTTTTATAGAAATTATATCGGTTCAAAATAATAGCTATAGTAACTATTTGCTGTAATACACATATTAATTATTGGATTTTTCTATTTTTAATATACTTTGTTAATCCGTACATAGGCTACATTTTTAGAAAGAAAAAAAATACTTTTTGAATTATCATTTTAAAATCACAAAGCTGTCCTATATCTGAAAAAAACATAGACCGGTGTAACCAGAAGTTGCAGTACAAATAATAATAATAATTTTTTAACGTGTCCAATGAAAATCGGACATTCCTATCTCAAATAGTTTTTGATGCACGCATTTAAAATTAAAATTTAGTCTATTTTGATTTTTTTCCTGATTTTGACTTTTCTCGATATTTATTCTATTCCTGGTATGGACATCTAAATATTATTTAAGTTAATTTTTTTATGGTAAATATGTATAATAATAGGTACCTTTACTGGATTAAGAAATAATTGTTAATTTAACAGCGCGTATATTAGCGGTATTTCTACTACTTCTGTGCTTTAACCTGTTTATTTATTGTGTTAAATATTTTGTTAATTACCTTTATATAGTATTTTTTTATCAGTAAATGAACATTATTATTATTATTAATATTATTGGATTCAAATAATTTGCTCACTCTGTATAACGGTTCCACATATAACGGATATTCCCTTTTGAGTCAGTTCGGAAACAAAGTTAATTTTGTTGTAAAAAAATATATCCTTCAAAATGCATAATGTTTGTCTTTATATTTATAAACTTAATTAACTTTTTTTTATTTATAAACAATAAATTCTGTCAATTAAAGGTTAAAATATTGGTATATTTCCTGAAAAGGTATTTTTTCCGAGAAATATTTCAGTTTTCCTTTTCCTTAGCCATGCGTAACATAGGTACTACTAGTAGTACATTTTGTATGCAATATAAAACCGTTCTACTTTTAAATAATATATCTCTCCTTATCTTATCTACCTATCTACCTATATATAAACAAGGTTCCTACGTAACCCAACAGTATAAACTCACCTGGTAAATTCTCCTAAACAGACCTCATCCTGTAGTACGTGATTTCCATTATTATTGATAATGTTATTAATTTCGTTAATATTATTTTTGATTTTGTTGTTATTGTTGTTGTTTTTGAAAGAGTTCCTCAAGGAATTCGATCTTGCCAAACGGTTTTTATTATTAACGCTGTGGTTTCTGTTCAAACTCTTAGTTTTAGCGCTGCGCGTAAAATGGACTTTTCTGTGCTTCGACAATTTGTTACCAGATACTATTTCCATGTTTAATTGAATTACCTATTGATTTAAAATAAAAGACACAGTTTAAAATTTCATATTTACACGAATTAGAGGCGTTTCGGCCTCTAAAAGAACGTTTCAGTCATTATTAAACGTCACTCGTATCGTATTTACATGTTTTGCGTAAAAATCGCGTAGCAGAGAACGGGCTTAACGCAGTAACAGGCGATGCGGATCAGGCTTTCAAAGCCTACTACTGCAAATAGAAACAAATGTTGTGTTTTCGTTTTCGAGTTCCCCCACGTCGAAACGCGGCGGCAATCGAGTTGGCTGAGCGTTACGTCAGCGAGACTGCGATTCGTCGACGGTGTTGAGAGCAAGAAATAGAAAAGTCGGCTGCGAATGACCGCCGACGTACGATGGAAAAGATTTCGATGTTGAATTTTTGCGATGTGCAAAGTGTTTAGACGAAAATAAATCTATCGATTGTTTAGTAATCATCATCGTCAGTATTTTGTTTGGGATTCTTTTTGGATCGGCTTGAATTATACAGGGTGTTCCTTGATGTCATGTCAATACTGATAGCGATAATTCCTTGACATATTTTATGATTAATATTTCATATAAGCGTGTGCTCCAAATTGATTTGTTACAGTGTTAAATGTTTTAAAAAAATTGGTTTTTTATTAATATTCTAATTACTCTTTTGAAGATTTTGATTAAACTTGGCAGGTTTGTTTGTAGGTAATAGGTACTAAGAGGATAATTTACACCTGACTGATATGAAATTAATAAGTTCAGTGGCGTCCCGGAGGGAAACCTAATTGATATTTTTTTAAGTTCGAAAATACTTTTTTACAGTTTTATTATTTTAAATTTAGATGAAATGATTCAAAATGTAATCTAATTTTTTTAGGTACATCGCATCATTTTCGAGAAACAAAAATTAAAACCATTTTATTATACATGATGTACCAATATTTCGGAAAAGTTTCATATCTTCCTTACTGTACGAGATATTATAAAAAATGTATTAACAAAAGTTATAAGGTGGCTTGAGGGCCACGTTTTAAAATTACATAGTGGTATACAGGGTGGTTACTTTTTTAATGGGATTGTATTAGTAATTTCCAAACCATACTAGTTAGAAAGTCGGTTAAATTTTATAGTAAATTTTCTTTGATTTGACGTTTTCATATTTTGCATCCAACGTTTCGTATTCTCCAGACCACCCTCAACTTATTTTTTTTAAATATAGACCTAGATATTTTATAACATTATTTGAAATAACTTTTCGTCCTGCATCCAGCGATGTATTACACAATGGCATTCAATGACGGTTTTTGGGTAATATGGACCGTAATCCAAATTTTATTAAATTTACGCTTCGTTTCAGCCATCTTTAGTTGAATCAACATGTCATGCCCCTCGATAGAAAAAAAAATCAATTCTTACAAAATTTATGTAATTTTTCGAAAATTAAACAATTCACCAACAACAACAATAGTAATGTAGAAATTTTAAATCGCAATTACTGATAATAACAAAAATAGTCATAATCAAATTATTTGAAAATATCATTAAAATTAATTTAGTAATTATTCAAAATGTCCGCCATTTTCTTCAACACACTTGGCGATTCTGATATTCATATTTCTTATGCTATTGCTTATTTCTTCTTTGCTTCTTTGATATCTTCCAATGCATCTTCAATCATTTCGCGAAGAAACTCAATTGTTGCATTCGGTATATTATACACTTTATTTTTGAGACGTCCCCACAAATAAAAATCTAATGGATTCAGATCTAAAGATCTGGCATGTCACGCCACTGGACCTCTTGTTCCAATCCATGAATTGGGAAAAGGCTGATTCAAATGATCCGTGACCATTCTTGAATTGTGTGAACCACGTCCATCTTGTTGGAATCATATTTCGTTAAGACGGTACTCTAACATGTCCTGCAGTATATCTAAATATTTTTCTGCAGTAAGGTTTCCGTCAATAAAGTATGGTCCCAGTAATTTATTATTCAACAAACCGCATCACATATTCAAAGACAAACGATATTGATGTCTCAATTCTTGTATTGGGTGAGGATTTTCCGTGACATAAAAATGTTGATTTCTTTTATTGAACATACCAGAATTCGTTAAATGTTGTTTCGTCTCCCCAAATGATATTGTGTCCAAAGTTGTTATTAAGTCTTACCTTCTGTTTAAACCAATTACAAAATCGCAATCTTCTTTCAGGATCATTACGATATAGTTTTTGTACCGTTTAGTATCTGTAATCATGGTATCCGTGTCTCTTGACTATCTTATTAACAACACTTTTTGATAAATTACATTCACCTTCAATAGTCCTCGACCCAACTCCTGGATTTATTCGAATTTGAGCTAAGACATTAATATCGTTGACTGGCTTTTTTCTTCGAACATACGGAACTCTAGGTTTATCAAATTGTTATGTTTGAGAAGAGTTCTAGATAAACGCCGAAAATTTTTTATACTTGGTTGCATTCTGTCGGGATAACAACAAAACAAAACATCTATAGAAATATAAATACAAAATATAACATGGAAGAATTACAAGTAAACGAGGTATCAAGGAGATATAGAGCAGACATAGAAAGAAGTCTAGACAATACACCAGTTTTAAACATGGCCAACATAGTAGAGAAGAAATGGAATAACATAGAGAATGCCATAAAAACACCAACTGAGAAAAATATTAATGAGAAAAAAAACGCAAAAAAGAAAGGAATGGTTAGATAACGAATGTGAAGAAGAATTTAAAAAAAAACACAAACTTCCTACAAACAGGGAACCGAAAAAAAAATATATAAAAAAATGTGTAGAAATAAGAAAAGGCGTCACCAGGAAAAAAAGTCGCAGAAATACAAGAAAATTACAAAAAGAAATTAAATTAAACATTTCTATAAAGATATAAATGGTATACAAAAAAAAAAAAACACTCGCCAAAAAATATTTACATCAAGGACAAGGAGGGAAATTTAATAGAAGGAAAAAGCTAGCAAATGCAAAGATGGAAACAATACTTCCAAAAACTACTGAACGATGAACCTGAATTTGGTAGGTATGTATTGTCAAAAATGGAATCGGGAATGTTTTTTAATTATTTATCTTATCAAAACATATTTTTTAATAGTCGAATAATTGAATAATTATTGATTCTCATTTATTTAATTAATCACTTTATGTTCGAAGTATTATACACTTAAAAATTAACAACTGATTATAAATTCAATACAGATCCGTACCAATAAAATTTGAATTACGGTCCATATTACCCAAAAACCATCATTGAATGCCATTGTTTAATACACCACTGGATGCAGGATGAAAAGTTATTTCAAATAATGTTATAAAATATCCAGTTCCATATTTAAAAAAGGGTTGAGGGTGGTCCGGAGAATACGAAACGTTAGATGTAAAATATGAAAACGTCAAATCAAAGAAAATTTACTATCAAATAAAAAACCTTTAAAATATTTTTTAGTAGTTCTAAAAATAAATGAACGATAACCAAAAAACCGAAAAGGACGAATTTCCTTTTATCGAAATATCTCGAGAACCGGGCCTGCTATTTTCGATTAATTTCCACCGCTAGATTATGCTTCGAGATACGCAACTTTTCCTCCATTTAACCGACTTTCTAACTAGTATGGTTTGGAAACTACTAATACAATCCCATTTAAAAAGTGGCCACCCTGTATAGCAAGGGCGGCTCTAGGAAGAAATTTCGGGGGGGGCATTGCCTTTAGATATTCCCTTTTTAGCATATATTTTTTTTGAGTAAAAGGCTCATAAATCGTAAGAATCTTCTTCTCAGGGGGGCCATGGCCCCCATGTCCCCCCCCCCCCCCCTGGAGCTGCCCTTGGTATATAGGTTGTTGCATGACTCAGGTACGAACCAAACATGTTTTTTTTTAACCATAACACCAGTTTGTTATTTTAGATTTAGATTACTCTCATTTTATCATTTTTATAATAAATGGTTTGTGTCTAGGTTATATAGGGTACTCTAAAAGAAATTGGCATTTTTGTATAAGAATCGCAAAAAAAAGTTTTTTACTTACACGCGTTTTTTAATATCATATATTAAGCTTTTCTTCAGTTTCATTTTGATTTTCTGCTTATTAGTATACAGAGTGACTCAAGACTCGGACCTTGATTTTCATGTTTTATTTAAATGCCCTATATTTTTTATTATCAGTAGATGCGTCCCATTTTTTCCACGGTATATAATTGACTACAGGAAGTTTAATTTACTTACGATTTTCATACAAAAGTGCCAATTACTTTTAGGTTACCCTATATAACCTAGACAAATCATATATTAGAAGAATGGAAAAAACGAGAGTAAACTAAATTTAAAATAATAAACTGGTTTAAAAACTATATATTTGGTTTGTACCTGAGTCAGGCAACACCCAGTATACCTCTAAGTAATTTTAAAATGTGGCGCTCAAGACTTTAAAAAACTTGTCAAATTAGTTTTAACAAAACATCTTTTCTTCAACCGTCCGTTATAGTGTATGTTATCGAGGCCAATGTTGCCAGCTACAAAAAAATTTGAAATAGGGCTTGGTAGGCCTTTTAATTTCGCTCCAATCACACAGTTTCAAAACGGTGAGGAAATGATGGATTTTCAAGGACAAATTTTGAATTATATTTAAAAATATTTCCATTCGCATTTTTTAAACTATGAACTCATGTAGGTAAATGGAAATTGGAGCTCCTAAATCGGTCACTATCTGACGGTCTATATATAAGTAAAAAATAAGATAACAAATAATTAGTAAGGAATTTTACGTTTTAAGTTAATAATTATCTTCGAATTTAGCTGTTGGCACCTAGTGAGGGAATGATTTTCAGGGTGCTTTCTTTCATAAACTCGTACATCTAATACAGTAGTTTAATTAAAAAAAAAAACTTTTCATAATTGACGATCCTAGTTTATAGAAATCATTAAGGACATCAATTTCGATTTTTTTTTTTGGAATCAGCCTAATACATGTTTTAATATCTCTTTCAACAAGGATGATATCGAACTTTTCCACAAGATTGGTACACTTTGTATATGTTCCTGCACCACATACAAATTTTTAATAGGTTTAGGGCGTAGCGTTAAAACTTAAAATTAATAAATACTGGGGTGTACGAGTTTTCTGTTTTGGATATCATTGGCTTCTTTGTGGACTAAAAGTCCTAAATACTTATGTATCGTAAAAGTTCCCAACAAACAATCAACTGCCGGGAACTTGATGGCCCATTGCTGTGATTGATGGGGAGATGACCATGTTGACTAAATG